CCACCCCTAATTTTTATATTATTTTTATATAAAATTTTTTGTTTTGATTTTTTCATGATACAGCATACAAAAATATGTACAACCCTAAATTTTCTTCCCTCTAGGCAGACGTAGTCGCGGGCAGCAGCTAGTATTTTATACTTGTGGCAAACGCCAAAAGAATGTCAAATAATGTAAAATACTAGAAAAAATTATTTAATTACGTTTTGTTTTAATAAGGGTTGACTGCTGACCCAGATAATGCTGATTAAGTCCGCTTCTGTATATATTTTGTGTGCATAAAGTATCAATCTATATACGTAAAAATGAATTGCTGTTCGTTAGTCTCGCTAGAACTCGAGAAGGTCTGGACCAATTTGGCTAATTTTGTTAGTGACAGTCCAGGGAAGGTTTAAACGAAGAGAAATTATGGAAAAATTGCATGGAAAATTGAAATATTCCTACCCGTCAAAGATTTTATGCATGCGCTCCGAAAATTCTTTTTCTATGTGTTTGTTTGAGCTCTTTTACTATACAAGTTTGAAGTCTGGAATAATTCCAAGCATTGCTAGTAGCAGCATTGTATTAAGTAGTCCATTATTCTCAGAAGCTGGAGCTGCGTAGAACTGCATTATCGCTAAGATGCTACTTGTTTATTATTACTTGTTTGTTATTTATATATTAAAAACTTTTGCACAATATCGTACAATGGCTAACTTTACACCATTAGATGTTCTATACCAGTCAACCGACAAATAAATTCACATCGAAAACTTATTCGACAATTTGTTCATGCTAACTATCTTTAAACTAAACGTAAACAATGAACCACCCGTATATCATAACCAGATAAAATTTATCATAATTATGTGCATTAAAAGTGTCACCTGCATCCATCAATTACAAATGTAATTTCTCAAAATTACTTTTGTAATTGATGGAACTTAATTTTAACCTACAAAAAATATTTTGCAGACACCTTGGCAGCCTCTCATGGTATGGGCACTTCGCTCAGGGCTAGGGAGGCATTGTAGTCAGCTAAAAGAAGTAGTCTGTCAGTCTTTTAGTTTAGATCATGTATTTGTGCTATTTATCGTAGTAACCTTAGGTACTCGGTAGGCGATCGCGCTTTGAAAAGTTTATGTTATATATGGAGACTTATATACTTATATTATATGTTTACTTATCGCTGCGCCTAGTAAAAAGATGCACGATTTTCGGTTAAAGGTTATAAATAACCGTTTAGCGAGGATATACAGATAGCGCTCTTGGCACCTTGCCGCGTGTTCTAGGTTTGTTAGATAACATGTAATTTACTGTTTGTCAATATTCATGTACGTAAGGCGCACACAATAATTTTTAACGTTTCGAAATTAAAATTAAAAGTCATGTTTCAACATTAATGTTGTAAAAACCCGCCAAAATTTTGTTTTCGATTAAGTTTTAAAGATGTGGATTTTTGCAACTGCAGCCTTTTTAAACTTCAGTTAAATTGTGTCTCAAATTATATCGTATCTGACGCTACAAGGTTAGGCTATCACATGTACAATACCTAAAGAGATTTCCAAATTCAACAACGTGTTAGTGAAATTATAACGCCATACAACAATCTGTTCGCCATCTATTCAAGGGTGAATATAGTAAGAATTTGAAAACACCTTGCATAACACTGTCCATGCAGGATTGTTAATATTATGTGTATATTCTTATATTTCATACAATATGATATTGAAATGTGTTACATGTGTATGCGGTTAGATAATTGGCAGCATGCACCCGATTCCCACACTGCTAAGGATGGCGAATCATTTAGCGAAGTGAGTCAAATTTTTACAATGCTTTTCTTGCTTTAAGATAAAAAAAAAACTAAATCTGGAGAGAAAACATTTTAAAAAGTAATTTTTTTCTCTTTTTTCTCTCGTATCACAATTTTTAACTTCTATACCTAAATAGCCGTTTATTAATTCTTAATTATGTAAAAAAAATTGTATTTTGTTATTTGATGCAAACATTGGAGCTATCTTGTTCGTGCATAAAATTAAACTATCTATTTGACGTATGACTGCCAAATGTCATTTAAGTCTGTCGTTTTGTTTTTGTTTGTTTTTGTAGTTGCGATAACTTATATTGTACAGCGAAGGTAAGTATCGCGACCACACAGAAGACCCGTGTGAAATAGAAGTGTTATAGTTCTGCAGTATAGTTCAGTTATAGTTCTGCAGTAATAAAACAGGCAGGTGTGTGTGTGTGTGTGTAAATAAATATATATGAAAAATATAAATAGATACTCTGTTATAAAACGTATGAATGTAAAAGTAGTACACTATTGTTTCTTTTCTACTTGTAAATTAAACTTAGATTTTATTTACTTAGTAAGTGACGCTCTATGTATTGATAGGATGATAGCACGATGCGGAAAAACAATATTCCAAAAAATATATATTACTTTTATCCACTGCCATCGTAAAGTGCTGCCAATTTTTTTTTGCTTGCGAGTTTTTCCCCGTTGCAGATTGTGCAAAGTTTTATGGACTGGGTTTACTACACAGAAAAGAATGCCTTTTTTTTTTATTGTTTTAAAAAATGAACTGACAATTGTTTTTTGTGCATATATATTTCGATGAGCTTATATAACGATATAACACAATAAAAATATCATGAATTTAAAACTTTTCTATTTTAAAACTAATGAGGGAAGTGGGATCATTTCATACTTATTCATTAAGCGATTTACGAAATCATCAATCGTTTTAAAATATTAATAAGCTCACTCTGTGTAACCCCGCAAACCTTATCAAGCTCCTAACCTTGAATTGGGAAAGTGTAAAAACGAGACCCGATTACTAAGACTTTGCTTTCTGTCTGTCCGTCTGTCACCAGGCTGTATCTCATGAACTGTGATAGTTAGACAGTTGAAATTTTCACATATTATGTATTTCTGTTGCCGCTATAACAACAAATTTTAACGCTATAGCAAAAAGTTTTTATAGATTAGAGACTCTTAACGGAATCTGACTCGCATTTGCCCGTTTTTTTATATTTATTAGAATGTTGTATATTGCATTTGCCGACTACCTTTTAAATATACACTGGCTGCTGAGAAGAAGGCAGAGTAGTGTGTTTTCTTATAATTTTTCCTTTCTCTTCTTATATTTGCCCCCCCACAGCCGATTTGTCCTTAGCAAAACCTGAAATCATCTCCAATTCATTATAATATGGCAGCACGAAACTGATTTAAATTACTCGATCAACAAGTTGACTTGTCATCAACAGCCAAGCTTCAGTGTCGGGTGGCATAGATTCATGGACATGCTTTTACATGGATCCTCTTCCCATATGTCAGCTGGGCAGCAGACTACTCTTACCACAAATGTTGGCTATTTTTTTATCAATCCCACAGCCATTGAAAACAATTACTTACCATATGTATGAATTTTATGTTTGTGCATAAGTATTCTACACGGTATGTTTTGTGTGTATATAATAGCTGAAATATTGCATTTTTGATATGATATGCAAATTTTGTGATGTATATTATATAATATATTTAATGATATAAATGAATACATGAATTCTTCTACTTTTGATGCACACCCACCCCAATTTCTACTCACACTCTTTTTACTCTCTATTTAAATTATTGGCAATAAGTAACTTTATTGCATACCAATAAACATCATTATATACATTTCATACTAATAAAAATCTTTTTTTGCTCTCACCCTTTTACGGTTAATTATTTTACAAAAATATATAATTTTACAAGATTTTAATTTTAAAATCGTGTGAGATTGGCATTGGAACCTGTGACGTTGACGAGGCTATCACTGCACCTGCAATACCGACAAACAACGAAAATGTATTTGAACGCAGCATAATGGATAAATATAAAAGGAAAATCAAAGTGAATTACCTTTTAAATATTATACTATTCGTCAGCTGCCTGGAACAGTCGAGAATGAAGTCGTTAAAACGCAAAAGTTGCAAATGTATGTTTTCAAACCTGCATAAATAAGCCGTTTGTGTTATGAACATCCGAACACTTACACGTATTGCTTACATAAATATCTAGTTAAATGATGAGCCGAATAAGTTCCTTAAGGAATTTAGTGCGATGTAGTAAACAAGAACTGCCTTAAACCATCTACGTTTAGGGGGTCGGCACATGTAAATTATATTGTGAGGAGTTTTGCTGGAATTTTTAACGGTCTCCTTGGCATCAAGCTCCTAGATCCAGTACAATTATTTATCTGTGGGTCACACAAATACTTGTCCCGTGAGGGAATCGAACCAGTGGCCTCGGGGGCCGAAACTAATAGCGCAACAACTGAGTCACTACTTCACTTGAACATGTGCTACATAAATATACAGATTTCAAGCTGTTATCATTATTCATGATATTTTGGAAGCGTTCGCGCGATTCGATCTCACGAACCCGCCACTTTTGTGCTCTTTTGCTGTTCAATGAAACGGAATAAAAAATTGCGGCAGCTGGGGGCGCTCCGGATCGCGTTGGCCTATCTGCTTATCGACATTTCCGTCCGAATTAATTTAATTTAAAATTTACGCCCTTCACGATGAATTTACATGGCTGCGTTGAGAATGAATGATACGGAAAAAACGATACAAAAAACTTTACAGAGGATATCTAGTGTAATAATAGCAATGTGAAAAAAAGCAATGTTTCTAAATATCGCATTGTTGTTTATTTTTTTATGCACAGAAGATAGTAGTTATTCTGAAAAAAAATCACTATTATATTTCCACGAACGTAAACATTAGCGATAGGCTCATCATCTTCGATACAATAAGATCTATGACATGCGAATCTGTACACGCAAAATTGCTTAATTTGATTTTTAAAACTTCATTGTAATAACTTTTTATATTGAATGATCATTCATATAAAATTTAACATTCTACCTTTAACGAAGCTCATAAAAACGTGACAAATCTTTAGCCCGTCACGAGCCCGTGACCGCACGCCATATTTCAAGGCTAAACAGTTCCTTTGATTCCAGATGCGAACCAACCGAGATTCGTAGGCCAGGGGTCAAACGTGACAGTTGCCGTTGGTCGAGATGCGTCAATAACGTGCAAAGTCGACAATCTCATGACTTACAAGGTAAGGGTGCATTTAGCAGCTTTATGATGTAAAAATATCGATTATAATATTCATAAGTTAGAATTAGTCAATAATAGAATTAGTCAATAATATTTCTGAAAGATCATATATAGATATAATATAAGCAGGCAGGCAGGATTGTGCCTTGTGGCAGTCTATGTTAGCAGTGGACTAACAGGTTGAAGTGATGATGATGATAATTTCGTTTGGTTCGGTATTTATAAGTCATAACTAATTGTAACTAGTATACAGCAATTATTCCTGTTAATTTTATTTTCTTATCGCGGAAGCGAAAAAGGTTTTTGACAGAAAACTTAGTTGCATTTTAAATTGATTATACTGTTTTTTTCTGTTCTGTTCCAGTGTTTTTCGTTTCTTATAATATATTTTAATTATTTTTTTTACAAATTTCTTTTTATCAATAAAATAACTCTGCGATATTTTAATGAACTTCGATTGGAAATATAGTAAAGACGATTTCAACACATTTTCAATTGCTATTCCTGCGTCAATAATTCATTTGATAATTTAAAGCATTATAATAAATTAATGACTAAACAATAACGGTACGTTCAAAGTTTAACAAGCAAAAGAGAAACTCCTAAAGCTTTTGTTCAAGTGTTGAGATGACAGAACATTCATCAACTGCATTGTAAATGGGACACCGGGATAAAACATGATTAAGGAAAAGTCATAATGAAAGCGTCAAATAAACAGTCATTTCATTAATCTCTCCCGGGCAAGCTGTTTATTGAGGATACCGAAGCGTGGCAATTTTTTTACGAGCGACAATCTCCTTAAGCGAAACGGCGCAATAAAATTGTCTTGGTGAAATTAAAAGCGACTGCGGCCTTTATGTGTCCCCTCGCTTTCGTTTTTATCATTCTAATGAATTCCACTCCCTTAATTCCTATTTTGTGAATCACCTAGCTGGGCACTTCAGATATCACTATAATTTTTCATATTCAAAATATTTTTTTTTTTCAACCTAAAAACATTATACCTACTTACTTATTGATTGCCAAAAAAATACTAATCCCGGTTCAGAAAAGAAGCCACCTGTGTAAATCCAGCGAAAGAAACTCAGGGAAACAATTATTTTTTTACCACTCTTTGACAGTGAAAGCATGTTTTCAATAAAGTACACTTGAAAAAGCCTTCAGCGATCAATTGATTTCCAGAGGTATTATCATTTAAATAATCACTAATATAATAAGAGCCTTTAAATCACAAAGGTTACTTTTCAATTTTTTTTGAACTTAGCAATTGATACATTTTGAGCTTTTTCTGGGATTTGGTCTAAAAACATCCTCCCATAAAAGAATTGCTTATTTTACGCAGTCTACTTGTGCGTAGAATTAATTGATGTTTGGGTCCTGTTAGTTATATCATATGTCTTGAAAAATCTTTTTAATCCTTATGGACAGTACTTTGTATAATAAAGCAATGGATAATGGTCAATGTGATTACTTGGATTGATTCAAATAAACATATTGACCATTGTCATAATATTATGCATTATCCTATCGAACGGTATGTTTATACTTTTACATATTTTCTTTGAAACTTATTACATAATATCTTGGAAATATAATTATTCCAAAACTCATCATAAAAACCTATAGAGAGAGCCAAAAAACAGAAATAATTGCGTTATTATCCTGTCTTACCCGATTATTAAATAATAATGTTAATTTGGTAAATGACAGGATTCAAATAAATAGCCAATGATTGCTCTTGTTATTCGTCTATCTCCATATAAACTAGACATATATAGTATGGCGATTAATTAAGAAACAAATTAAAACATCAAGATTGCGTCTTGGACAATATGTTTTGTTGTTTGGACAATATGTATTTTTTTTTATTTATTATAATCATCATTATTAACGTGTTATAATATCCCAGTCAACCCCATACCGTTCTAGACAGGTTTCACAAAACATTAATTCAAGGACGCGCACGAGTCCCTCTCGCACCAAAAACTTTTTCTAATTCGAAGGTTGCTTGGTTGCGCGTGGATACGCAGACAATCCTGACGATAGCTGGTCACGTGATTACTAAGAACCATCGGATCACCATCACGCATGGGGATGGTGCGTGGACGCTCAGCCTACGCGACGTGGGCCCTCTAGACAGCGGAAATTACATGTGCCAAGTTAACACTGAGCCAATGATGAGCCAGTTACACCAGCTGCAAGTTGTCGGTCAGTACCCATTAGTTCCTCTTCATTTGTATCGTTAAGGAACGCAATATTATTTTGTATCCCTTCCGGTGTTATGGACTTTCAATGCCCAAACTTATAATGCAAGTATAACTGAAGCTTTTATTAAGGCGTGAATTATTAACGTGGGATGGTTTATATGACTCTTATCATCACATCTTAATGAAAGAGTTACATAAAGAAAATTGTTTTTATATAATCTTCAGTATTCGGAGGAACAACAAATTTGGAACAATTGTCTACAAAGATTAGTTGTAAGTGACATTATACAACATCATACGTTTTCTGCAGTACCACCGGACATCAACAACAAGGCGAGTAGCAGCGATATAATTGCAAAAGAGGGAGATGGTGTTCAGTTGCAATGTATTGCTTCTGGAACTCCCGCGCCTACAATTACCTGGAGGAGAGAAGATTCGAAACTCTTTAGTGTGACCGGAAAGGCCTTAGGTTTGTCAGTAACTAACAATTTAATATTGACCATATTTTTATTACGTCTTGTTAATCAATATAAGCAGGCCTTATTTATTTAGAATTCACCATCAGATTGCAAGCCAGTACTCAAATCAATAACCTTGTTAAATCGATTCTGTGAATCTTCGATTAAATAGACATACGTAGAAATCTCAATTTGAATAAAAAAAAATCAATGAAATGATTCTTAAATTTTAGCTGCTTCTAGTGTATACCAAAACATGTCCAGAGATAAATAAATGGTAAAAGTAAAAGAGCCACGGTAATTAGTTACGCTAACCGCCGCGGATTGTCCAACAACAAAAACCGCTGCGCCCGCTCCGGCGACAACAAAAGAGTAAACTTCGGCGTCTGTGACTGTAAATTAAAAATAAACTCGAGTAATTTGCATTCATTGCACAAGCTTCGGATTCACGGCTCTTGCTTTGCTATTTTATATGGTACCTTTTGTAAATTTTAAAGCTTGTTCTAATTTTTATATTTTCTACTCTGTATATCTCGTAACAGAAGATAATTTTTATATAATAGATAACTTCAGAGTGTTGCGTGATGATGTTCTGTTGATTTAGCACTTTTAGTTCGATGGTATTGAAAACATAATAATTTATTTAAATGTTTAGTAGTGGTAATGTTATATTTAAGTTTCGGTATTCCGTTACAATTATTTAAGAATTATTTTTTGAAAAAATTATTACAATTTTCCAAATTCAAAAGAAGACTTTATAGGATTAAGCTTAAGTATCTAGATTTTCATGGTGCCTCGCCATAAAAAGCGCTATCATCTGAATGTCTGTTTCTGGTGTTTAAAGCAGGGTTTAACGGTTATAGTTGCCGGCATATAAAAAGTTGCCCCGGTTGCCATACTCAGCAGACGAAGGGCGATAGTTTAATACTTTCAATTAACTACTTGTTTCTTAGTGAAAGGTTTTTTAGTTGTAATTGACTTGTACAAACAAAATTTAAACTTAGTGACTAGTATCTAATTTTTTTGAATTTTGTTGTTAAAAAAAATATATTTTGTTATTATTAGTCGTACGCTTTTGACAGAGCGGTCGTGATATTTAAGACGATGGTATATGGTAAGTCTTTTACGTTATCAGTTTCAGCTGCAATCTTTCAAGACTTGTTTTGTCATGTTTTTCACTCGATCTGTTTGTATACGCATATTATACGGAATAATTCGTTGTCATCTTAACGAGGTTCTACCAGCATGCTGTCAATTATTATAATTGAACTAAATCATCTTTGAGCGACTGAAATCATATTTTAAAGAGCAATTTAAACTCAATTTGTGTCAAAGTAACTCAATCTGTTTTTTTTTTTTTTTGACAAAATGTTTATTTATGTTAGTAATTTTATTATCTTCGTAAATATTCAAACCATCAAGATTTTTTTATGTGAAAAAGTGGCAAACGAGCTTTTGGTTCACCTGTTGTTAAGTAATAACCGCCACCCATGGACATTTGCAACACCCGCAGATTTGCAAACGCGTTGCCACTTTTAAACAAATTGGGCCCCGGCTACCTCACTCACCAGACGAAACGCAGAAGTGTAACTCTTCTACTTTACGCCGGTCTTCTGTGCGATCGTGGTAAATACCAGGACGGAACGGTTTACTTAGACAGTTATGCAACATCTGCCTTTTTTGTATACTACAAATTGGTACTCATTTTCAGTTACTTTGAAATATAGATAAGACAGAGAAATAGATTTAAATGTGTTTTGTTTAACGAAATGAGAAAGGAGTAAAATGACGCGAAAAATGTTCGCAAAAGTAAAAACATCGGAATTAGGTAGAAATGTTGAAAGACTCGTTTCTTTTTAATGATGTTAATGCATCGATAATTTTCAGTGCCAAAATGGAACGGAGCGTGGCTAAACATCACGACCCTTAAGCGAGAATCATCGGGTGCTTATCTATGTATAGCATCAAACGGAGTTCCCCCATCAGTGAGCAAGAGGATACAAATTAGTGTCATGTGTAGGTTTAAAATCTTTATATATATGTACATCTAAATTATTTTGTTTTCTCAGGATCATGCTTTGTGACAATCGACAAGCAGTGGACTCGAATGGGCTGACATGTTGATGATAATAATACAAATTATACATGCTTCTTTGTCTATAAAAGGTTTCGACCGGTTTGCGGTTAATGTCACACGTACATTAAAATCATCTCCCGCAGACGCAAATAATGTTTTAAGAAATAATGTTACCTCTTGCCTACACACATTTGAATTTAATCACGTAGATACTTATGATATTATAAAAGTTTTGAATTCTATTAATCTTAAAAATACAGAGGATTTATGGGGTATGTCCATAAAATTAATGAGCACAATAATGCCATATATTGCACCACATTTGGCTTCTATTTTTAACAACTGCATAGATTCTGGAATATTTCCAGATTTTATGAAATTTAGTAAGGATAATACCTGTCCACAAAAGTGGTGATAAAAATGATCCAGGCAACTATAGACCTATTTCCATATTGCCATCTCTTAGTAAAGTTTTTGAAAAGCTAATATTAAATCAACTTTTAGTTCATTTTAACGTGAACAAAATCTTTCATGATGAGCAATATGGATTCACAAAAGGCAGATCGATAACAGATGGGGGCGTCGCACTTGTCAAACATATTTATAACGCCTGGGAAAGGTCACAAGATGCAATAGGTGTCTTTTGTGACCTTTCAAAAGCCTTCGACTGCGTAGACCATAAAACTCTCCTTCAAACGCTAGAATATTATGGCATTAGTGGCATCGCCCTAAATCTCATTGCCTCTTACCTTAGTAATAGAATTAAAAAAGTATCTATAAATTATGTTAATTCTGCTGGGTCCCAGATGAAAATGGGAGTCCCACAAGGATCAATCTTGGGCCCATTATTATTTTTAGTATATATTAATGATCTCCCCTTTTATGCCAGTGGGTTGTGTGATGTTGTACTGTTTGCTGACGGATACCTCGCTTATTTTTAAAGTTGACCGAAACGTATTAAATTATGACGACGTGAATAGTGCACTTTCACATATCCTCCACTGGTTCACTATTAATAATATGGTATTAAATGCCAAAAAAACCAGATGTATTCTTTTCACCCTTCCCAGTATAAGGAGGAAAAGTTTTAGTTTAATATTAAATAACGTACCCATTAATCCAGTTGAGTCTGCTATATTTCTTGGAATTACAGTAGATTCAAAGCTCCAGTGGAGTCCCCATATATCATCTCTTGCGAATAGGCTGAGCTCCGCGGTTTTTGCGATTAGAAGGGTTAGGCAGCTAACAGACATCGACACTGCCAGACTTGTTTACTTTAGTTATTTTCACAGCATCTTGTCGTACGGCATTTTGTTGTGAGGTAGTGCATCAGATATAAATTCTATATTTATTCTTCAAAAAAGAGCAATCTACAATATCGGAGCCCGGAATTAACTCAGAGATCTTTTCAAAGAGGTTAATATACTCACTTTTGCTTGTCAATACATTTATTGTAATGTTTTGTATATACGTCATAACCTTAATTATTACCTAAAGAATAGTGACAGACATAAAATAAACACTAGAAATAAGGACAAACTTACTACGCCATTGTTTCGTCTACAAAAAGTAAATAAGTCTTTCATGGGGCACGGTGTGCGCATGTATAATAAAATCCCACAGTCGATATTAAGTCTGCCGCTTGACCAATTTAAATGTAAAATTAAAAATCAACTAATGATTAAATCATATTATACCATTTCGGAATATCTCGACGACGCCAATGTGTGGAGTTGATACTGTTGATACTCACGTAGGCTAGAATAAGAATATTGTACCTGTTTATTATATTGTAAATTGATACTTTTGAAAAAGAGCAACTGTTGAGTTTCTTGCAGTTTCTCTTCTCAACAGAAACTGCTTTCCGAACCGGTGGTACCTTACGAAACTATACACATAATCTTTGATGTGAAATTTGACGATTCATAAGAGCGCGCAAGCGTCTATTTGAATAAATATATTTTTGATTTTTGATTTTTGACCTTTTTGAGTTGGTGAAAGGGCACGATAGAAAAAATTCCAATATTGATTTCAAATTTCATCGAAATCATAGTTCAACGTACTCTTTAATGGTAACACCAAAGTTTTGACCATTTCCTGCTATGAACATTATTTGTATTATTTTGTTGTATTGAGAAGAAACGATTATAATTATAAAGACTTGTTTATACTTAATAAATCAAAATGTTATCACCCAATTTCCGAAAGCGCAATCAATTTTAATATACGGTAAATCTCTTGTCAATCGTTGTTTAACATGATCTGAGTTGCTAGAACGTCTGAAAATAAAATTGATATTGATTTGCAATTAGTCACTGATTAATGGACAATCAACAGAAAATCGAGTTTCTGAAAGCGTTTTTCGGTGGTCAACGAGCTGACAAAAGTTTTATTAAGTAATCTGTCAATTTGGACGATCAATCGTTGGTTAAAAATGTATTTTATCAAAAATATTAGTTTTTATTAAAAATAAACATAATTCCCTAACACGTTGTAAGGACATTCATGTGTTCTTTTACCTATTTATTATTTATTATTATGCATAATTATTATTTATTATTAAACATATCATGGGATTAGAAAAAATACAAAATGCAATTCAAAAGTTAATAAATAATATGGATTCTTTCTTTTTATAATACTTACTTGTTTATTATGGGTAAAAGTTCATTTTTTTCACGTTCTGTAAAGTTTTTTCTTGACATTTTGCATGTATTTATATAAATTAAATTTTATTATAGCTCGGATTTTTACGTTGGCAATCACACGGTGACAGGACTGAATAGTGACGTTAATTTAAGTTTTGTTTAAAAAGGGACAGCTATACAATAGAAAGAGTTAGTTGAAGTAAATCATTCATTATCATTGGTTATACAGTGATTACCTAATTTTTCATGAACAAACCTTCCAGAAACCCAAGGCAGTTTAACAAGAGATTAACAGCTGATCAATTTTGACATAGTGTTATGTGATTGCTGCTTTGATTGGCCTTTCAGAAACTGGGCATATATCTTATGAGTTGTTAACTTACACCTCTCTCGCAACAAACCCTAAAGATCACGACTTCCTGATAAATTAAAACTAATCAACATGTCAACAGTTGCTCCCAAGGTGTGGGCAGATCGTGTTGCAATACGAGTGCTCAGTGGTGACAGCGCCACCTTGCAGTGCCTGGCTGATTCGTTCCCGGCGCCGCAGATTTATTGGACCCTCAATGGAGAACAGAGACTCTTAAATGGCAAGTTTTGAAATCACTTTATAAAACTTTAATACCATAAAATAAAAGTTCGTTCCATCAGAGTAAAAAAATAATTGAATTTGACATGAAAAAAACCAAAACTCCTTAAAGAGACGAGCTCTTTAGGGAATCTTCGAATGATGCAAAAATTCAATGGTTTCAATATTTTACGGTATGTTATTATGTGCACTTCATTATAGAACTAATGATATTATTACGTACAGCAAAAATTTAAAACTAGAGACTGTCAGCGAACGGTGGAGGATGAAGTTACGCATATTCAAGGATCTAGAAACCTCTTTTGCCTCTTCGACTTGATTATTCTATATCTTTCGAGGCTCTTCCAAAGAATATACGGTACCAAATGCTGAACAATGAACAAAATGTCTAAAATTGATACATATATTTAAGAACATGAAGTGATAAATCTTCAAAGTGGTTTAGGAATTTAATTTTGCACTTCGATTTGCTTCACTTTAAAGTTTTATCGAAAAGTACGCGCCTTGGCTGCATTCCAGATATTTCGATTCTCTCGCTACATCCTTGCGAAGCCCACGATATATTGAATGTGAAGAACTGGGCATTGTTTAGTTGCTTTAGCAACATTTCTTACATTCTATTGATTCCACTGTTTTATTACATTACAACAAGAATAAAATGTCGTAACAGTACATAAAAGTAAAGCAAGTCTAGGTTTTTATTTATTCTGCAAGTTAATTGAGATGATAAAACTAATGCATCGAAAAAATAAACAATAAATAAGTAAAATTTTCAGGACACATTTACTCAACGTTAATAAGTACCAAACTAAGCAAAGCTTGTACTAAGGCTAGTATCCACGTATACAAGTATAACTGATGAACATAGTTTTTTTTGTAAAAAAATACATATATTATGGATAAGTACCTGAAGTACCGAGCTTTGCTCGGATTTTTTTGGTTAACCATGTTTTTTGGGAATAAAAAAAAAAAATATAGAAAATGATGTATAGAAAAATAAGTGTGTATGTAAATCGCTGGAGCCGTTTCCGAGATTCCGATTATGTGACGTGATATATATATATACAAGAATTGCTCGTTTGAAGGATAAGATTATTAGAACAATATAGGTACATACATATGACGTTAAGGTGGATAACGTATCTTAAAGTTTTAAATCACTGCAAGGTGATTTCTAAAGTTAACAGTTTTTGTGCATTCTACAAAACAAAATACTTTTCACAATCTTAGCATAATAAGTTACAGATCTTCAACGTACGTATTTTTAAATAGTTATTTAATGAGGATATTATTTTTCAGGAACAAAACACAGAACTTTTAGTATGTTAAAAGGTTACACTTACACGGTGATACTCGTGATCGATGAACTGTCAAGAGAGGACGCGGGGGCGTACCGTTGCCACGTGGAAAACAGTTTGGGACGTGCTCAAGCCGAGCTTTTCTTGTACGGTGAGTTAATAAACGTTTTTTTTTATGTGAAAAGTTGCCAAACGAGCAGACGGTTCACATGATGTTAAGTGAATACCGCCGCCCATAGACATCTGCTACACCCGAGGGCTTGCAGATGCGTTGACAACCTTTTTGGAAATTGGGCTCCGGCTACCTCACTTACCAGACGAAACGTGAAAGTATTTGTCATACTTCCACTTTACGCCGGTCTTCTGTGAGGTCGTGGTACTTACCCGGACGGGCCCGCCCATTCGTATAACCGAGGCTGCAGCGTGGCCCTACCACCGTTAATAAACGTAGTTAAAAGATGATATTTAACTGTGGTAGGAGCACGCAACAGCTTTAGCTGCTGCACGAGTGTGCAGGTCCGTCGGGATTAGTACCTCACAGAAGACCGGTGAAAAGTGGAAGTATAATACTTTCGTGTTTCGTCTGGTGAGTGCGGAAGCGGGAGCCCAATTTTCAAAAGGTTGTCAACGCATCTACAACCCTTGGGTGCAGCAAATGTCCATTGCCGCCGCCAATATTATATATTATTATATATATTCACTTAACATCACGTGAACCGCCTGCTCGCTTGACAACTTGTCACATAAAAAAAAGTGAGAAGGTGATGTCATCGATAGCTCATCTTATGATGCGGTGGTGGTAGGCAACCGCATTTTTCAATCATTTCTACTCCCTAAAAATGCTTTACCGGATGTTGTGTGTTCGTTTTTCCTATTTAAAAAAAATAAAACAATTTCAATTTTTTACACAATTATAGACATAAAATATGCAGAGACTCTATGTAACTTTTTATTGTTCACACAAAGGTTTACATTATGGTACTATCGAGCAGGCGACCAGACAATTTAAACGCATCCGCTTGGTCCCTGTATGCCCATTACATTATTTTATCTTTAATTTATTTGCACAATTTTATTAGAAAAAAATTTAAATTGTAAAATTTCAACAGTTTTGACAACGACGTCAACAACAACTACCACGTCGACAACAACGCCCTCGACAACAACGCGCTCAACGACAATCACAACAACTAAGGCTCCAGCCATCAGTACAATAGCAACATGTGCGTAAATATTTAAACACAACAAATATTGTGTAGTAAGTTTAAACAATGACTTAATTGTATCAAGCGTTATTTATTGCAAATAACATTGTGACTACGCTATACTCTCAAATAAATTATCCGATTAATGCTTTCATAGTCACACGGTGATATAAAATACTAAAGTGGTCCCATTTGAATTTACTCGTACCATATGAAAAATGTAACATGTGGTAAATACATATTTTATACATATGTATAAATAAAAGTGGAGTGTCTGTTTGTAATATAAAAATAACCGCTTTTTACTAAATGCATATTTATGTATACACGGTACATTTTTTACAATTTTTATCTGTCTCTCTGTTTGTTCCGGCTAATCTCTGCTGAAACGGCTGAACCGATTTTGACGGGACTTTCACAGACAGACAGCTGATTTAATAAGGAGTGACTTAGGTTACTTTTTAATTTTATCTATTTAAAAATTCCACGCGGACGATGTCGTGGACACAGTTAGTAATAAAATATTTTTTTTACTTTGTCTGTTTGTCAGACTGAGCCGTACCACCAAATCAAGGTCATTTAGTGGTATGGTTCTCTTCGGGGGCGAATCTTAAGTTGTGACGGGTTCGTTTACACTTCGTTCGCTTATTTTAATTAAAATGATAATATGCATAATAAAGCCCCATTTTATGATAGGCATATTGTATTTTACGATATTGTCCTTTTTTCTGAGGATTTAGGTCCTAGGGTAAAGGACTACAGTGCTACAATTTTTGTGCCTAGACGATGCCGAGAAGGACGTAGAACCTTTACACAGAGGCGTAATATTGGACCCCGAACTAGAAAACGCCTATGTTGTCCTGAGCCAGCACCAAATGCAAAACCTGGGTAAGATATTAATAAAACTATTTGTATTGAGTATTAGTTTAAAGAAAAAAAATTTAGTTAAAACTCTCTGAAAATTACGTGCTACCATTAGGATTTCCTAATTGGATAATATTCAAATATTTCATTTGAAGTTTCGCGTAATCAATTTCATGATTATTACAAAATATGCTCTAATAATAGCCGAGTTTAATTATCTGCATTTCCACCTTTAGACTCTGACATCAGTGTCTAAACTGACTCTGTGTGATGTTCAAACTGGAAATTATCACAACGTTAACATTAAAAGAGTCCTTCTTCTCACATATGCTCAATACATTATCTGTATATGGAGCATTTTTAAATACTTTCGTACTGAACAAAAATTTGTTGTCAAATACGAATTAAATAATCGTCGCAGAAATGGTTACAACGATGTGACCGGAGGCTCGTGGCCACGGAGATGCCTCCTGGAGTGGTCCCTGGCCACCGCTGCAAGATACTGCCAGCAACGCAGCCTTCTGCTTTTGGCTGCTGCTTATAGCGGTACTGGCGTGATAACCCCATCGGTTAGTGAGCGATTCCTGCCCTCAAAACATGGACACGTATTTTATAAGACATTTGTAAATAAACCATTAATATAAAGTGTTAATTGGAAATCTTGTCGCGAACTAGCGACACTCTTGAGCATGCTACGTGCTTTTCGAAAATTAAACGTAATGTACAAGAAAACACGACTTTTAAAAAAAAATATGTTCAGTTTTAAAAGTATTTCTAAGCATGATAAACTTATTTAACATTAACAACATTGTCAATACATGCCACTAGCTCAATTACATGTCACGCATATTAAGTTTACATATTATATCGTCCTCAAACTTCTGTGCCGTCTACTCGTATCAGAAGGATTATCGTGGGGGTCTATTTTCAGAAGAGACGGAATAAATGAGGCTCAACGACTTTTGAAATTTTGGTGGGTTACTGCCTAAATAGCTCTAAGACTATTTAATACAGTTACCCTAAAGAAAAATCGAAATTTTCTTTTGTTTAAAAGAAAACTTTAGCTGACATAATTATAATGAAAAAATGACTTTCATTGAAGTTATAATGTTTTAACATCTATGTGTTAGTTGAACCACCTAAGGCACTATAATAATGTGTTACTGTTTCTTCGGCCTGTAATAATAAATAATTTACGTGTATCATAGATAAACAAGTGATTGAATTTAAGAAGCTAAGCTAACGCTGTAAATAGTTTTGCACGAACTAGTGATAAAATAGTTAAGGAAACTACGCGCCAAATAATGTTACGCGATTTAAATTATTTGTCTGTACTCTGACATTAAGATCAGAATCAATTTGGTTTGATTTTGTATTCAGACTTTTGTGTTACTCTTTACTTTTAAACATACTATAACATATAAACCAAGAATGTCTAGGTTGAAATATTAATAAATGTTATGGTATTATTTCCTTTTCATACTATTGGTTTTGATTTGAAAAAAAAAACATAGAAAAGGAACTTAGAAAACTGGACCCGATCATGTAACTATTCTTTAAGAAAGTTGTTTTAATTTTTTTTTTTTTTTTTTGAAATAAAGACATTGAATCATTTTTAATTGATTTATGTGGCGAAGTAAATACTGCCACACTAGACAACATAAAAAGAAAACAATTAATTTTGACACAAAATTAATTGGTTTCTTTTTGCTTGATATTTACATACAATATACACGTTTTGTGTACATGTTTTGAGTTAAATTGGCGTTTTTTTATTTCACACCATTCAATTGTGTCTACGAAATGTTAGTGAACTGTCACTGAATTTTTTCTATTATTCATTATTACGAGTGAACTGTGAGGTGGACGCGATTTGTATACAAATATTGTTCTGTTCTGAAAATAAAGTTTAAGAAAACAATACGTGTTTTAATTAAACATGCCTTATGATAATTCTTAATAATTGCAATTGTTTTAGCAATTAAATAGTACGTCTACCCTATTCTCAATTGTCAAACGTTAACAACAGGTAATGTATAAAAAAAACATTGTTGATAACTATAACATTTGAGGATTGCCCTTGATTTCTCTAAGATGCCATCATCAGATCCGGGTTTCCTTATTACGGTACTGCCGTTGGGATATCTCCTTTCCAACAAAAAAATAAACATCAAAATCGGTTCATAAACGAAGAAGTTATCCGCGAACACACATAAAAAAAATTAAAATATATACGGTCGAATTGAGAAACCTCCTTTCTTTTTTGAAGTAGGTTAAGAAGTGGATAATATTTAAAAGTAACAATGTCATTTTCTAGCCTTTATCTTAGGCTTGTCTTTTGCATTTGACATTTGTCTCCTTTCTAAGACATGTTAAAGTTTGTGCAAATGTTTCAAAGGACATCACTAGAACATTAAGCAATATCGACTAAAGCTTAATAAATATATTATTCATGATACGGTGAAATTCTATAAAATTTCTCGAGGAATTTCCTCACGAATAACAATTTCCTATATTTACTCATCACTCACTTGCCTGATTTGGCTCTTTACCAACAAGCACCCTTCAACCTTACTCCTTCAAAATGTTCGTGATAAATTGTTAGTACCGAAAACTTCCCTTTCATTGTATATTTAGGAAAGCGCTTTCCGGGTAACGGAGAAAATGAGGCTGCGTAGAAAAAATACAACTTGGGTATGTTTTACCACTACTCAATGTTCATTTTTCTCATAACACTTGAGGAATGTTTATTTACAATTGATTTATTCCCTTTGTTCGTGAGGCCTGAAAAAATAGAGAGAAGCCCGCATTAGAGATTACTCAGTGATTAATATAGAAGCTTATTTTGACATCCAAGTATAAGTAGCGGTATTTAATCGATTAATACTTACAAAAGTAAAGATTCAACGAAAAAATTATGATAATTCATTTCAGAAAAATAAGCAGCAAGATAATTATTTTCTAATATACTTAATGAAAAAGTCAATCCTGACGAAGGCAGAGGGAATTGTCCATTTTCTTTAATATAATACAATTCATAAAGTATTTTGACGGCGGGAAAAGATGCAAATTAAAATCTGCTTCAGTATTTTTTCAGTCAACCTTAATTAACGTAAGCAGCAGCTGAGCCACGTTCATTTAATACAACAAGAATATTTCAAAACAAAGTTGCCAGTGTAACGGGGCACGGCAAGAGTTAAAGGTATTGCGATAAACATTTTAACTTCTGTGTTTTGAGAAGCTTTCATTTAATTTACTTTTGCCAAATTACTTTATTCCAGGGATAACTATATCAAATTTGTGATTAATATTATTTTTATTGCGTCACCTTTCAACTTTAACCTTATAACCAGGGCACGGTCCACATTTACTAATTTACTAAGGTTGGCAAACCATCTGCAACACCACAGGTCCAAGGTTAAAGGCCAGGTTAAAGGCCTACGCACTTTTCCATTCTTCACATAATAATTCTGAAAGATAGCCAATGCAATCAAAATGCATTAATGAGGCCCCTTTATAATTGTAATAAAATCTAATTACAAGTCTGTTATATGTATATTTTTTTCGAACTTGCAAATTTAGGTATCGTATTTAATTCCTAGTTTTCGTAGTTGTTAGAAGCACAAGAAATTGAAAAAAATTCTAACCTCATAATTTATGTAATTGTTTTAAATTCAGATAATTTCATAAAACTAATAAAAAAATTCAACGATTAAAACTTAGCCTATAGGATTTTCAAAATATTGTTCGAATTGAACAAATTCTTATCTTCTTCACTTAATGAAATTAGATTTCGGCTTTACTTCCTATTTCAGATTTGCTTAATGACGTATTATTTTTTATCCTTTTTTATACTAAAGATAACTATTTAAAACTGAAACTATTTAAATATTTAAAAAGTAATGTAGTACTTCTTTATTGTTCACAAATTTTAAAGTAAAAACATGAAGTCTGCGGCTTAGCAAATTTATGCCGGTTTGACTTAAGAAGTAGAACAACATTGAAGCGGCCATCTCTCTAGGAGATTTAACCTAAATTTTCGCCGAGAAATCCGAATTAATAAGAGTTTTATTGAATTAAATTAGGACCGTGCACTTGACGCCCAGAGTCTGCGATCGGTAAATTCCACCCGCTGATATACTACTATACTTGTATCAGCGTCGATATAACTAATGCAACTGTGTTTATGGGTATTTTTAACTCAGTCCTATGTAATATTTCATACTAGCTATTAACCGCGACTTCGCCCACGCGGTGAAAGGGAATTAACAATGAGTTTTTTTAATATACAACAGAATATCTCGCAGATGGCTTTTTCGTACTTAGTTGACACATATCATTTCCTACATTTTGGACAATTTACACAATATCTTTATAAATATGTGTTATTATGATGTTTAAGCTATATTATTGTAAAAGTAAATAACGTGAAAGAGTAACAAACATCCATCCATAGATACAAACTTTCGCGTTTATAATATTAAGTAAGTATGGATATGGATTCTGTAAATACCATCCTTAATAGCTTGGAACCTCGATTCGTAAATCCTGAGACCATAGTATAATAGTTTACACACCGGTGCCGAATTTCCAATTTATGGATCTTATAATCTTTTCTTGAGACTGAAAAGTTAAACATTGAATATTTCGGCACTGAAATTCGGTGTGAACATACTTTTGCGTTAAACTGAAAACTCTGTGAGGGTTAGCAAGTTTCGAACGAGTTCAAGGGCGGACGGCTTAGTAACTTTAGGGTATATCGTCTCGCGGTGATGTTGACGCCGTACTCTTTAATTAAATTTACGGTCTCACTTAATTAACAACAAGCTCTGTCGGCGGTTATGTATACACATGAAAACCTAACAATCAATAATGATGAATCGATACCGAATCTTGTAGATAGAAGATCGGGAGTAACGTTATCATTTAAACGTTGTTACCTATTGTGCCCATAACAACACATTACCGCTACAAGTGAATAAGTTATATGCTTATGATATGCAAGAAAAATAAACTGTACGTAGACAAATAAATTACGTTAGCTGCAGCCGCAGGACTTAAAAAAAAAAACAATTCTTATAATATAAATTTAATACAATAAAAATTAGAATAATGCTATAACTAAAGTGAAGTGATTAGCTTGGTCAAAGTGTGACCGAAGAATGTCGAAATCCTAACTTGTTGTCGGCGCCTGCTCACTCGGCGCCGCCTGACTCGGCTCCGCCGTTTGCCTTTAAGTAGGTTTTACATTCTTGGTGATTTTCGTGCTACATAGGTTAGAACCCTTCTCATGATTTATGACCACTCTATAAGTTGTGAAGTTTTGTGATTAGATTGCAAATAGATCTATTTTTGCACAATCAATTTAACAAATATCCATTAGGAATACAGCGAACAGCTGCAATTGTATTATTTTATGCAATGTGAAGCTCTAATTA